GACGTTCCTTTATTCAATTCAATTCAACTTTATTTGTCATTATACTTACACAGGAGCATAGTATAATGAAAAGTGTTTCTCATTAGTCTCTCAGGTGCAGAATATATACAGAACAGCAGACAAGATGACAGAAAATACAATAGCAGTAACAGTGTAAACAACACTGGTATGATACCAGTGTGACAGTACCCATATCTGTTAAAACCTGTGCACAAACAGAGTAAAACAGTGCAAAATAATATGTCGATTTTCAAATAGTACAACTATCAAATAGTAAAACTCAATCAAGTACAGTTTTAAGTTCTAGTTTGTCTTACAGTCAGTTGTCGGAGGTATGGAGTATGTAATGGCGTAGCAGTACAGCCGTTGTGGGTACAGGGGGAAGTGAGGAGAGATCATAGTTTGGTGGGGGGGTCACCAGTTTGATGGCTCTGGGGAAGAAGCTATTTCGGAGTGTTTAGGGGCTCTTGTCCTGATAATTTAATCTCCATTCCACTGGTAAACTCAAATCAATTAAAACATGAAGCTACTGTTAAAATGCTCACTGTTAAATGTTCACTCATAAGGCACCAAATCAGTTCTGGTTAATGATATGGTGCTTGACACCAACTCTGACCTGTGCCTACTAACAGAAACCTGGCTCTGACCCACTGACACTATTCCTTTAGTTGAAGCCTCACCTGATGGCTATACTTTGTTACAGAAACCTCGTTGCTCAGGGCGTGGAGGTGGCCTAGCAGCCATCTTCAACAAGTCTCTAAAATTTAATTAAAAACTATAAACGACTTTCACACATTTGAGGCAATGCTTCCGAATCATCCCCATATATTCTTCAAACACAATCAAACATGCCGCAAAGAAGTCTAGTACAAAAACAATGTGCACAACTTTTCAGTGTTTTTCAATTACAGTGAATGAACATGAACTAAAGAAATTAATTATTAGGACAAAATCAACCACCTGTCCACTAGATCCCATCCCCACTCAGCTAGTCAGAGACTCCCTCGAAGTACTGGCAGGACCTATAATTAGTATGAACACGTCCCTCGCAACAGGCGTTGTACCTGACCAATTTAAGGTAGCGGATGATGGACCACTGCTTAAGAAGTCAAATTTGGATCCATAAGTACTAAACAACTACAGACCTATCTCAAATGTTCCATTCTTATCTAAAAGTCTTGAGAGAATAGTTGTGGCCCAACTTCAATCGTATCTGGACTCAAATAATATACTTGGGCAATTCCAATCTGGTTTCCACCCAGGCCACAGCACTGAAACTGCATTAACAAGAGTCGTTAATGATATTCTGCTAGCTACTGACGCTGGGAACGCAGCAGTGCTTGTGCTCCTAGATCTTAGTGCTGCCTTCGACAAAGTTGACCATTGTATTTTGCTACACAGGCTTGAGTCTGAGGTTGGCCTATGTGGAACCATCCTTAAATGGTTTACCTCCTCTTTAACTAACCGTTTTCACTATGTTCAAACATCTAATATTTGTAATGCTTCGTCACTGTCACCAGTCAAATTTGGGGTACCACAGGGATAAGTGCTCGGACCAGTATTGTTCTCTCTGTACAAGTTGCCGCTAGGTAGGATAATACTAAAGCATAATATTAACTTTCATTCCTATGCTGATGACACTCAAATATACAGTTTGTTTACAACCAATGACAACTCGTCAATTGTCACTTTAGTTAATTGCATTAATGAAGTAAAGGTGGGGAGCTGCGTCAGCAGGCGTAGGCTGCATAGGAAAAAAGTAATAGGTTTATTCCCTGCTGAAAAAAAGAAGAAAGAAAACACAACGTTTCGGCCGTGGAGCCTTCAGAATATCATTTACGACTCTTGTTAATGCAGTTTCAGTGCTGTGGCCTGGGCAGAAACCAGATTGGAATTTCTTTGGTTTAAAATTTTGCCTCAAAGATTCGGCACATATTGTTACTTAGACATCTTAGACAAGGCTTTCACTTAACTCGTGTTAATGCAGTATCAAAGGATCGCTTCCTACAGTTCAGAAACATTGCAAAACTTAGGTATTTTTACTCGAGACACAGAGAAACACATACATGCTTTTGTATACAGCAGATTAGATTACTGTAATGCCCTACTATCAGGGAGCACATATCACAGCTTCAACACCTTACAGACAATTCAAAACGAGGCCGCTAGAATTGTTACCAGTAGAAAGCAAGACCACATGAATCCTAGACTTAGCTCTCTCCATTGGCTTAAGGAGCGTTCAGGACAGACTTCAAAATTATTTTACTTACTTATAAGGCTTTCAGAGGTCAGGCACCTGTTTATTTAATGGAGCTGAAGCAATGTATACAATCCAAGTCACCCACTTAGATCACAGAACACAGGTCTTCTTCTTATTCCACATATTAATTAAAAAAACGCTGGGGGTAAAGCCTTTAGCTACAGGGCCACTAGTTTACGGAACAGTCTACCAGCCTACATATGGGATGCCGAGTCAATCTCAGGATTTAAATCCAGACTGAAAACCTATTCCATCAGCCTAGCCTACTCACACCTTACATTATAGCTCATTGCAACTACACTATGGCTGCTGGTGCTGCTGTACACGCCATTATGTGTCTCTGTGTTGGCCCACCAGGTAGGTACAACTGTTTTGACCAAACTATCCTATTCTCCTCCCCACATGTCCGGATGGTGCCCGGGCTGGGCACCAACTGAGCTGGATGCTGCATCACTGCCATGGATCCAAGAGGACATCATGGATACAGCTATCGTTTAGGAGGATTTGCTGGTGAACAGAGCACCGCATGGAGTACTGGCACACAGAAGACATGATGGAAGACCTAATACTCCACATTTAGTACTTGTTTAGAATTGTATAATGTTAGCATGCCCAGAGGGGTTGGGCAGCCAGTAGACTTTGGACCTCAAGAGTTTATGTTTCTCCTTACAGAGGAGTTTTTGGTTCCTCTCCTCCGTTGTCTTCTGGATTTTTCTCTTGCTGTATTGTAACATCATGTTTTGTCACACAGCTTTGTTAAGTGCCTTGGAGCAACCTTGTTGTGAAAGGCGTTATATACAAATCAATTGAATTGAATCTAATAGTAGTAGGTCTTCCAAGGCGTCTGGTAGGTCTATATGTACAGTACTGTAGGACAGCCATTGTAACACAAATGTGTACCAAAGGATAGTAAAACACAGAAATTGTTGTAAAAAAATGACTCAAACTGAAACCAGGACAGAGCAACGGGGAGCACAGCAAACGAACAGCAGGAACACCACAAAACTGAGCTGTGTGGATCTATGGTGGAACATGCACAGAAAACAAACAAGTTGCTGATTAATCTGAGTCTGAGCTGCAAGATCCCGCCAACTGAAGAGCCCCTGAGCGTGACAGGCAGAGACAAAAGTGCCGTTTGAATTAAGAATTTGGAAAGAAAAAAAGTGTGAGCTGGATGCACAGTATTTAATTTTGAGATGAACAGATAGTCTTGCACTTCAGCTAGAAAGAAGACAGACAGTTTGATAAATGAACATCCACTATTTTCAGACAGAATTACTGGAGCCATTGGCATTTGAACTGTAAAAAGCCTCCAGCTCATTTACTTCTTAATGTATCTCGTTACCAGCAATGCACAGACTAGCACAGTGCATCAGGGACTTTCACATTTATCAGTCCATAAAAGCTCTGGTGTGATGCCTGCTGAATTAGTCAGAACGATTTCATGTTCCCTTGTTTATACTGTATGTACAGTTCTTTGTGTATAGTTTAGGGACAGTGTGTCTCTATACAGAATCACTGGTTTAGGCATAGGTTTAAGCAGACACACAGGAAGATTCTTTCCTTACTGTTGTCTGAATTTTATAACTACTTAGGTTTCACAGCAATCGCCACCCCTGCCCCCTTGCTGTTGGCACCATCCCTGGGATCTGTGCCAGGGCTCACCCGAACCGCAAGAGGGGGCACCAGGTTCTGACTGGAGCACACACGTCTGAGCCAGATTTTTATCACATGTTCCAAGGAAAGGCCGGCTAATTCCCCCACAATGCAGCTGTGCTTGGCCAGCAGTAAAGCCACCTGAAAAGCGTTTCTCTGCTCAAGTGGGATTTTACCCTTGTGACAAAGCACACCCATCACTGTATCCTCCAGGATGCGTCACTGTCTCTTGTGCTGAGAAAGCCCTGGCTCGGACATGACTCAGAGACTCAGGCTTCCTTGCGTCCTCTGGACTGAGGCAACTCCAGAAATCCCAAGCTACAACCCACCACATCCTTCAATGTAGAAGTGTCGTCTGTCATCCGTAAAAAAGTCAGATACAAAAAGATACAATATACCATTTTCTTTTAATTTTGTGCTCAAACACTAAAGAGAAACAATGTCAGAGATCTGTCCGTGGAAGCCACTCAACTTTTCTTCTTTGGATAGTAAAAAACCGAGATGTTCAGCCCTCCTTTAAAATGAAGAATATGCAGGGAATCCCACCAAATGCAGGGTCCCGTTTCATTACTGCTTTCCCCAAATCTGGATCCACCGCCTTTAATCGCCTGGCCCTTAACAGAACAGCGTGTCACAACACCACATTAAACACAGTAACAGGACAAATTCATTTAACAACAGCAGTGCTGCAGAAGAATAAACAACATTAAGTGTTTAAACCTCTCCTGCAGTCCAGATGGACTGCTTGTCTTACAGAGTGCTGCTGGACTGATTTGACAAGTCAGGGCCTTGTCTTTTCTGCACCAACTCCTCTAAAAAAACAGCAGGCCTGAGACTATTGCTCGGATTCGAAAAATAGGGTGGACACAACCTGAAAAAAGAGATTTTGGACAGGCAACACCTTTGGGCTCATTGTGTGGAGTAGGAATGTAGTAGTACACAAGGAGAAATGTGGTATCTTAAGCAGTCCCTGGAGGGATTAAACTAGAAAAGAAAAACCTCCAAGTTTACTTACAGAGCCCCCTGACCGACAGCAATGTGAAGCAACAACATGTGTGACAGGCTGGGGCTGCTGGACTCTTACCTGTGTCCGTTCAGAGAGGCGTGGTGCAGAGGCGTGTACCCAGAGCTGTCTGTGCAGTTTACATTAAGTCCCCGCCAGATGCTGGAAACAAGCAAAGACAGAAACACATCAATGTTTGCTTACATCACCTGCAGAAAAGCTTTATCCGGGCAAAAGTTACATGCAAAGCAGATTTGTGTTCCTAATATCTGCATTTGTATTCCAATGTACAGTAACTATACTATGATTCCCTAATTGTAACAAGGAAGAAGCAGATACCAAAAACATTCTTCATATGTCAATATTAGTAGGCAAGTGGACAAGTCTTTTCTATTTTAATGTACTGCACATGTGTGTCTGTGTACTAAGAAAGTGAAGATTAAGAAGCATGCCGATGAGAAGGCTCATTTTCCAAATGTTAAGATAAAAAGTAAAAATCTCTATCAATATGTACCCAAGTGCTTCAGGTGAAAAACACTCACGACCTTTACGAAGAAACACCTCGTTTTATCAACACTTTCTACGTTTTCAATACAGTATTTGCAATTAAAAATAAAAAACCATGCTGTGCTCTTCTCAGCATGTAAAAACACATCCCTGTGTTTACTTCTGAAGCGACCCATCGACATGGCAGGGGGCTGTGTCACACAGAGAAGGACCACTGCTGAAATCGGCGCTGGAAATGCAATGCTCTTACTAGGACTAGTAACAATCTGTACGGTGTCATTTACAGTCGTTATCATCACCACCACACATTACTGACACTCACAAAAGAGCTGGACACTGAGCTTGATTGGTAGTTATTAGCTAGATCACTATGGTGGCGTAGTGCTCTGCAGTGCTGCCTCACAGCGCTGGAGCCCTGGGTTCAATACCGGACCTGCGTGCTGTCTGTGTGGAGTCTGTATGTTCTCCATGCGTTTGCATGGGTCTCCTCCAGGTGCTCTGGTTTCCTCCCGCAGTCCAAAGACTTACTGGTAGGTTAATTGGCTTCTGGGAAAATTGACCTTGGCGTGAATTTGTGTGTGTGTCTTTCCACAACACTTTCCTATCCAGGGTGTTTCCTGCCTGATGCCCGTTGCTTGCTGTGATCGGCTCCGAGTCTGACCCCCAACCCTGAACTGGATGAAGCAGTTAGAAAATGGATGGACTGCAGTTAGTATTTAGCAGATCCAAGGCTCCCATCCAGCTGTTTCTTGAAAGAGTATCGGCTTCAACAACTTGGCTTGATAACTTGTTCCACACTCCCACAACTCTTTGGGTAAAGAAGTGCCTCCAAGTCTCTGTTTTAAACGTGCTCCCACTCGTGTCCTGTAGTTCATGTTTCACTGCTCGTGCTGAACACTGGCTTCTCTTTTATGAGACGTGGTAACCCAAATTGTAAATGATATTCTAAATGGGATTTTTCTAGTGCCTTATACATTTCAGACACCTCTTCATTTGTATGGTATATTATATCCACAAATCCTCACAAGCTAATTAAGCAAGATGTAGCCTTTTAAAATGCATGCTGAGTATCTCCTAGAATCCGTCTGCCTTACAGATAATCCTGTAGTTTATTCCGAATTATTTCCATAACCTTGCACATAACAGACATAAGACATTTTTGGTTTGTGATTCCACGCTTCTGCGTTTCATGGATGGGCTTTACTTCATCGATTAGATTAGATATAGATTTGACTCCGTGCTTCGTCATGAATCCTGACTCTGCACTGCAGCATGCAGATCAGTTATATCTCCCCATCTCCTATCATCCCATCTCACCAGACCCAGCTCAAACCCCCTTAGGAGCTTCTGTCTGCTCAGATGAAGATGTACCACAGCCTGGACACGACCTCACCCAGGTACTCTGACACAGCTGAGCATCGCCAGACCAGCAAGAGGGCTTATTTTCCAGCACTGAGGCACACTGGGGTTTTATTTCCTTGTTAGCTTGCTCTTTTTTTTCTTGTTCTAATGTTAAATTAGTGTTTGCTTTGCTGCCTAATGGCTCATTTCATGCATGGCAAATCATATTGCCTATTATAATGCAATTTGTGCTCATACAGGAAGCCAGAAACCCACATCGCTGTAGAATAGCTACAGAGTAACACAAATGAGGCGGAAGTAAAAACAAAAGGGGAAAAAAAAGCCCGGCAAGCTGACCAGGTAAAACCAAGAGTAAAATAAAGTTGTAACTGGAGCCAAGCAGCAGCTTTTATGTGAGCAGAAGAGCCTTAAAGCCCAGTCTGTTCCACTGGGAGCCAGTGCACTTTGAAGAGGACAGGACTCAGGGGCCGATGCAGAGCACTTTTAAGCAAGCAACACGAGTCACAGAATTCTGGACATACTGCAGCCTATGAAGTAAAGCAACACAGTAGTCTAATCCTGATTGATTCAATTATTCCTCATCAAATTAACTGTCAATAACAACAGTCACAGAACAAGGGTCTGAGCCGAGCAAGGTTACACTGACGAAGAAATAAATATTATTTTCTCATTCCTAAAACGACCTACTGTATAGACACACCTTTATAGTAATGGCTTCTATGAGAAATGGGACATTTCGGAAAGTCTGCAGCTAAAAGACTGTTTGTTGATCCTCGGAAGGCCGGAGCAAATCTGTAATAGAATGAAATACCCTTTTCTATTGCAATTTCAGTAAGAATTACTTTTGTTGTAACTCTGATGCTATTGTAACTGACCATGGTTCCCCAGATGCATTGCATTGATATTATTTAAAAATATATAGTTCCATCTATAAATACACAGTATATCAACACACAGTAGTATTGGAGTATAATTCAAGAATATCTCACCAGGCCTCTTGAGTAGTCTTGTTTGATGTTTAATGAATTACAGTACAAAGCGCGCACACATTAAAGCACACAGCCACAGAAGTAGAAATATTCCACTTGCTAGACACCGAATTCTTTCTTCTCTAAACATCTTACCCAGAACACTGTAGCACTGTAAGATCATAAAATACAATCAAGCTGGAAGTTGTACAAATCCTTTATTAATGGAAATAAGTCTCAGAAGACCACATCTAGGGTTGTGTGAAGGATACAGCAGTCCTGTTCTGCATGCCAGGAGCATGAATAATTTAAAATGTAAATATATTCAAAGGCTTTATCCACATGGGTGTGGGTGGCTGTGATAGTGGGTGATTGGAAGGCTACTACCATATGATCGCCACCTACTGGACACCTGCATGCACTACAGCTGATGGGGAGGAGCTTGACCCTTAAAAAACACAGGGCTTCCCCGTAGCTGAATCATCCCATCACAGACAAAGACTGTGTTCCTTTGTCGTTTGCCACTTAATTTCCAAAGTGAAGAAAGACATATCACCTCAATGATCGCAAAATAATCAACAGTGCCCCAACAACACAAAGAACACAATGATGGCTTGATGCAGACAGAAAACAGCAAAAAGCAACACCTTTCAGGCTCAAATCTCTTCCTCGGCCAGCACCATGGGTCGCCTCAACTCTGATGTATCCCATAAAGTTACACTAGCAGTTGCGGTCAAATAATGCCTTGTGCAGTATAATAACTGGATAATAACTGAGGTCGGTAACTACTGAGTTACAATCATAAGACAACTAGTGAGTCTGCAACCTAGTACAGTATGTAGATGTCAGACAGCTAAGTGAGGAGTTACCTCCTGGCCGAGGAAATTTCCTGCAGGAAACCCTGAAACTTGACATTTGTGCCAGAGGCCAGGGTTTGATTTTATAGTTCAAACTACTTACCCTCCAACATTATCGTATTTTTACAGACAGGTAAAAAATGACCGGATTCTCTGCCACTCAAAAGCTTGGTTCAACAAAATGGTACAGTACCAGCCAAAAACATTCTTGCCCAATTTCACAGACAGGGATGAGCCTGTGGCCCACCGGGGAGAAAGCACTCTCATTCTGATCAGGCCATCTACAGTATGAGAAGACCACACTCTTATTTCCCTTGTATAATAGAAATCTGTTTTTTATGAATGTTTTTTTCTCCATGAAACACGGAAAGACACAGTACAGAAAAAACACAGGATATTGAAGTAAGTTGAGACAGCATTTGCATCTCTCTCTCCATGTAGGAAGAGATTTCCAGATCGGAAAGAACAGTTCCATATGCAGGCTCATGAATTTCACATTAATAAGGAGGCACTTGCATTCCCACAGTTGCACTGGAAAGTGTAATAAAGCACAGAGGCTTGAGAGAGACTGATGTCTTATACTGTACCTACTGTACAAGGGCGCTGATACAGCAGCCCCTGATGAGCCTTTTAATAAAAACAATCGAGAGGATGGAGTGATTGGATTAATTGCCATGCATATGGGATGACCTTTCCAGGCCTCTTGACACTGATGAAAGGGAGGAAGGAAATCTTCGCTGTACTCACATTCTCCAGTTTCCCTTATTCATTTACCCAGCGCACGAGTGAAGAATGGGAAGAAAGGCCAGCTGTAACAGCAGTGGCCACAGCAAGCAGGGATGTCTGCTCTGCACACTAACAGGAACTGCTCCTCCTGTACAACCTGGCCATGTGGCTCTTGTCTGCTGGGCTCCATGCTGGAGGGGAGAGATACCCCTGCAGTAGACAGGGCACAGTGCACAGCGCTGCTCTTCCTTTGCGACTGTAAAAGGTTCTACTCTCACAGTAGGCGCAAGGCGCTAGGCTTTACTCTTGCACAACCTGTTCAAAACGTTTACTGGGGAGCTACCGCGTGGCTTGAGCAGGAGTGAGATTCTCCTAGAGGCGGGGCACAGGAGGATGTCGATCACTCTCGCGTGCCGGAGGGGGTGTTGGCGATTCCCCGGTCACTTGCAGGTTCTAGGTGCAAACAAGAAGCAGCCATAGGACCTACTGTATCATGGTCAATCAGCTAAGATGATAGACAATGGGATCAAACCCAAAGGCCAACCCCACTGAACAGCTGTGGGCTCTTCTGAACCAGTCGAGCTGAAAACAACAACCCAATAAACACACCTCCCAGGACTTTCCTACAGGTGTTCTTCATACACATTCTTCCTGCCAAGCACACACCCCGTCACACCCCCACAGAAGACTTAAAGTGTGCCATAAGAGCCTGACTACTAACCCACCAGTCCAGAACCACTCT